TACATAAAAAATGTCTCTATTGTCGTCAAGAATTTTAGCCAGCGGTCTTTTCCGTCTGGATCTGGTTATTTTAGTCAGCCAAAAATGTAACCCAATTTATACCTAATTTGTATTTCACTCGCGGTTTGTGCCAATGCTAAACAGGCCCTAATAAATCCGTACAGTTTAGTATGTAACTGTATCCGCATAGTGACAATAAAAAGGTGCGTCTTGTGGTAGTCATACGATTTATTGAATTGAACCACGAAGCTGTTTCGCAGTCAATTTTATATATCTGCTTTATTCTATGTACTGATCGCTACTTGTTTACTTTGCCTTTTCAATATTACATGTAACTTGCATGCGATACATGCGTCATTTTGTTAGAAAAATAAGGCAATTAATGAAAGCAAAATACATTCTAGAGATAGAGATTAAGGATTATATCCGAACACTGTTAAAACTATGTATGAATGAAAATCAGAACCCAAAACTAACCGGTAAAACATGGTTCAGAGATGTTTAGTTAGGTTACGATAGTTTTGTATTTAAAAATATGTTATTTTTAAAAGTCATAGTGGTAAAGATATGCGTAACGTTACCATAATGTACATATAGTGTTATCAGAGTATTTACGCGCGTGGATATAGTATGACCGGGAGGCGTGGTGCCCGTCAGGCCGCGTCGGCGCCGCGTCTACGTGATTGTTCTAGATACAATTTCACACCCATCCTCTGTAGGAAATCTGCGTAGAACAATTAAAACTGTAATCTTGAACGAATACTTGAAAGATTAGGGTTGTTTTATTTATATTCAACATAATTTGTATCTTGTGCTTGCTAAGTACAGGCTCAACTCATTGTATTTTCTTAAACGTTGTATACTTTTGCTTATGACTAAATGTTTATTTCTGAATGTAATATTTTAATTAATGTATTTGCAATTTATATATTTTCGGGAAAGTCAACAATGAGGTAATATGATCGTACTATTATTCTTTAAACATCGACACATAAAAAGCCCTCACAGAACTCGGCTCTCTAATACGCGATTCGCACCTTGATCTAAATACTTGCGACATTGTCTAGATGTGACGCTTTGCTCGTTTTTAAAATTTTAAACTGACTATCACTCTATTGTATTCAATTAACCGTAATTAAATAAGAACAATAAATAATTAATATACAGGATATGTGAAATAGATTCGGGTCAGCTAAATTAAATTATCTTGTGCCCAAAACATCTTGACTATTTTTGGGAAGCGAGTTAAGATAACATAATACGGACGAAAATATGTATCGTGTCTATTTCGAGATTCACAGTTCAGATTGTAATTATTATTGTTGGTGAGGTATTTTAGTATGAAAAGTGAAAAGTAGGCCAGTGTGTAACACCACGGGTTGATGTTTGTTTGTCGTTTAGTAAAAGTAAATGTTCGCACAATGACGTCGAACATCTCACGTTGAGAATGCCCATGCCTTTTACTTGCCATTGTTTTCGATTTTTTATCTGCTAAATAATCATCATCACAACCTAATAAACTTTCAAGAATTTTTTATTCTAAAAGCATAACTACGCTCAGTGAGCTGAAGTGAATGTCTATAGCATATTTTTTTCTTTTATATCAAAGAGTCGGCTACTTATTGCGCAAGGTGTAGGTAAAGTGTTCACGTGATCAGTGGCTGCAGGTTATAATTTTATCGACTATCCTATCGTTGGGTAACCAGTGGAAAGAGCTTCGTTACGTAGAGGTTTCGATACAGCCTCGATGTAAGGCCGTGGTTGCAGTCACGTCGGCGGTGAGAGGCGCCCCTCCTCCTACGGAAGGTCGAGCAGATATCGTGAAGAGAACGGCACTATAAAATGAATCCTTACAAAGGCACTCCCCTCAATCGATATGTTTTATTATATGTATAAATTATTTCAACCTCGGAACAGGTAATATACTGAATGTTGTCTCAAAGTTCACGTTAAAATAACAAATTTTAAATAATTTGGTCGAAATATTCAGGAAATAAAACTTGATAAGAAACTACTTGTTTTTGTAGATTTGGGCAGACGTTAGCCGTATTAATCTAATCAGTAAGCACGCGCATGACAATTAACAAGTAAATAGTTCATTAACCGTAATGGAAAATACTGAAATGTTTGTTAGCACTTTATTGACAGGAATTTTTGCGAGTGCATATAAATCAAGTGATTAGAAACAATGCAGCGCTAATAATTATGTTGCTTGGCGAGCGTGAGTACATTCCGTGGTTCAGTAGTCTGGTAAAAAGTATAATAAGAGAATCGTAAAGCAAAGTAATAGCGTTAATACATTAATGTAATATCAAACTGCAGACGGTGAAGAGCTATAGGTAATTTGCAAACAAAGCGTGCAGGTAGAATACAATTTCTGTATTACAGGAACATAATATAATTAAATGTAGTGTTACCTCACCACGATTGCGACAAGAGGGCCGTATCGTCCATTAGAAAGTCGGTGAATATGCAAATAGTATAGTAGAAACCTCACGAATAACTGGCCACTCACTTCGCGTCTAAATGTGTCTGCGATGAAAGTGACGGCCGCTGTTAGTAATTGTGTTAGTTCGCGGATGTTTTATATAAAATAAAATTTCCTGTATCAGAAAGTAATTAGTCGCCTTACCCACTAACAATATTTTCAAACTGAAAACATCTTGTTTAAACAGGGCATTTTGTTTATCAACGTGTCGGCTGGACGTATACCATTCATTCTGTTGTTTATTTATAATTACTACAGTTTCTCACGATTGTTCGCAGATTGAATTGATTCGATATTACTTTTCTAAATCTTTATATATAATTAACTTTTCTAATATCGGTCTACTGTGCTGATTTTACGACAATTTAGAATACACCACTTAGTTCTCTTTGGCTTATTAGAGTTATTAGGTATTACATTAAAGTGAACGTCAATCCTTCGACAAGTATGATTATGTAAACTTGTTATCTAATGGCAACAATAATGTTTTCATTAAACTGGCCTCTTTACATTGCGTAATGCAATATACAAAATTAATTAAACAGTATATATCAGCCGAGCACTGTCTTAGAGGGAGTTTCATATGAAACCTTATAATCGACATTCTTTTGAAAAAATACGCATTCAATATTTTAAACATGCCGCTTTTATAAAAGTTATTTTGGTTTCGTAGTTGAAGTAAATTTAAAACAATTGTAGCGACATTGATACAACAAACAACTAGGAATGTTGAAAAATTTAGTGTGACAAAAATAAGCAGACAACCGACATGATAATTAATATTGTTTTCAAATCCGTTTTCTCTTTGTCCTCAAATCAGTCGTGGATAATGAAGGTCATACATAAACAAGTTCACATTGTTGTAATGAATGTGTACAGATATTCTGTTTATATAGAAAATAAGATAATAAAGAGCCGGTAAGCAATTAACGTGGTTGCCGACTGCCGATCACAGCTCGCCTGCGTGGATTTGTCGCTACGATGCGTGTTGAGGAGAACTATTTATTATCGTTTACTGCTGACGTGTGGTGCTATCAGACCGAAATACAATAAACCTTATGCCTCTGTGTTACGATTGAATTTCTATCAAACGACCCGTGCCACCTCCACGACGTTACGTCAATAAGATACAACACGTTAACTGGCTAGGTTGGGGCGTACGGGCTTGTTTTGCGTCCGGGTTTGTCGCGTAGAATCCGTCATAGAATATTTATCGAAACGCTTGGAATCAAAACTAGTTCATGCACATTTAGCAAGCAGTTTTATCGAACGTTCACAAGAGTCTATAAAATGAATTTATAGAAACCAACAGCTTTCGGTTGAATAAACCAAACCGGTTGCACTGGCCTCTCACTTCGCAACTTTGTGTGCCGCTCGCTGTGAAATTAGGTAACCAACAAAAGCCACGGTCGCTGCGCACGGCAGGCGAAACAATAAAGAAATCCTTCCTACAATAGATAATCATTTCATGTGAAATTATTGCCTGTAAGTAGCAATGACGTAACCGTCACAGAGATACTTGCAGAGCATTGAAGTATTAATTGACCAAACAACATTCGAGAAGTGCCTTGAAAAACGGATGATGAATTTCCTCGTATTTTCCGGTCCAACCGAGGCGTACAGTCGAATGACCTTCGCTAAAAGACAAACAATGAAACTTACGACCTTGACTTATTACAATTTGCAGCTCATGTATCGCTCTCATTATCAACAAATGCTAGTCTAATCTTATGGGTTGTTATTGCGTTAATGGGTGTGCCTTTAAATAAAGCTACAAGACAATCATGAATAAGACAATGAAATGACATAATGTACACAAATGTAGCGGGCGAGACGGCTGTTCACCGAATGCCGAAGTATTCCATCGCGACGCGCTCTTTATATCGCGCGGCCGCGAGCCGCAGAGAAAGCCGCGCCCCGCACTACACCGCTTGCCTGCGTGCTCCTCTAGCGGGTTTTTTCCTCATTAACAATATAATTGAGCACAATATATCTGTATCTCACCTTGGGTTGATCAAACGCTACTTTGGGTTACGAACATATGTATAGGCTTCAATGAAGCTTGGTATTTTAGGCATCAAGAAAAGGTTTAAGATTCGTTATAACACCCATTCACTTTAAAACTTTCCATTAACAATGTAGAAAGATTCAAGTCAATTTGTATCGAATGTTGGGTTATTGCTCCACACAGCAGATTTATAATAGGTTAATTGCCTGGCATTGTGGTACTGGCAGACATCTTTAGCCGCGACCTTAAAAGCAGCTCGGGGCCACGTATAAAGATGTCACCCGTGTATCTCGCTATAATCGATAACGAATTAAACTTGACTTCTAATAATTAACAAAAATAAATAATTACAATATCTGTTAATAATGATAACATTGATAAGGAAATTGTGTTACGATATTAATGTTTCTAGAATATATCGAGTGCTTATATTTTTGATTCGGGCTGACAAGTTTGAGTTTTTTGTGAATGTTGCGTGTTATGCCAACACGGTGAAACGGTACGATGCGCCCGCGTCGCTTACTCGTATTGCAGAGTCGCGTTGCCATTCTTGGCGATGAAAGTAGTCACAAACCATTGGTACTAGCGTATCCCCCCCAAATGTATTGCGTGCCTATTCGTCCCCTACTTCCACTATACGGTTAACTTTTTGCCATGGGCGTCAACTGATTAGAGCGCAGGTGCAAACACTACAATGGAACTTTTGTGACATACTCTTTGTGATCCGATGATTGCAATCTATGAATCATGTAAACGAATTGCTTTGCGTGAACGATATATACCTTACATTACATTTTAAAAGACTCAAAATCAGATAAATTAGATTTGCGCATTATTTAATCGACATACTTAGGCATTAGGTATTAAAATCTTAGAATTATAAGTCACAAACAAATACATAAATGTTTGTAAAAAAACATATAGCTAATTACTTTTTTAATAATTCCAGAAAATCTCGATTCCGGCACCGTCCAGCGGAAATGGATCGGCGGGCGAATCCACGTTTCACTTCAACCTTAATAGCAATGCTGAGATGGAGGGTCCACAGGTAACACCATCGATTAGCATAATTTCGACTAACATTTCAGAGTTAGAATTATTCCGTCCGATCAGATAATAGTAGAACTAATATATCTTAATTTACATATTTTGGAGGCAGTATCTGATACAAGCAATTATTTATTAGACTCTGCCCTTGAATTATTTATGATTTTTGACTTATACATGTCAAAGATAGTAAAAAAGCGTAGAAAAACATATTTTTTAGTATTAGAAGTAGAAGTACAAGGAATAGTCAACTCTTATATCCTGTATATAATTATCGGAATCTTAAATACTCTGTCGATAAATGTAATCCATATACATGCCTACTGGTTAATGCAACAATTATTGATTAAATTCCAAGGTTATATAAAAAATACGTGTTCAAGAATATACTATATATTGTCTGTACATTCAGTTTCCCTTTAGTTTCAAAATTGTATTGTACGTCAATATAATAATTGTGATGTTTCATAATTATTTCTAAAGAATTAGAATTACGCCGTTATATTGCGTATGACGTACGTATTTTATCATATTTTCCTTAACTTGCAACACTTGGCATTATGGAACAATTAATTTTGCATTACTGACTGCTATTTAATTGTCTTGATAACGGTACATTCCCGTATCATTACGAGTCCTATTTCTCCTACCGTTTTATTTGTTTACATCGGGTTACTAGAAAAAGGATACAAGCTAGGCTCGTAACTTATTTGCCTCGTAATTAAAAGTGTTATTTTCTACACTACTTCTTTACTACTTCTTTTAATCCAATTCAGATTAATAACACATAATTTATGTAAATGTTTATAAAATGTTAAGTGGTTGAAGTTTTAAGTAATAATACAGTTGGCTTAAACTGTCCGACAATTTACTTGGAATGTTAGGTAATGACTTTAACCGTATGTGTTCCAGGGTTCATTTGAATGTGTGCGGAATGCAGTCGGCGGCACGAAGAGGCTGGAGTCGTGCGGGCCGTTGCCCAGAAGGATGCGGGTGCAGGCCAACGATGACTCGTATGAGGCCACAAAAGACCGAATGTCGAGGACCATAGCTGCGGAACAGAGCAAATGGTAAGCTACGTTTGAGATGCAGCTCAATCAAGAGTTCAATCAAGTCAACAGACGAAAGGGAAATTAATGATAGAAATTCTTAGACCTTCCACTAACCTTAGATATAAAACAATAACAATGTCATTACTACATATAACCTATGTACACACTACAATCTTGCACAATCAGACCTTGATTCAATAACATCTATGCCAACATTTCCTTGGATGTTTTGATTACCTAAAGAAAACCACCTAATTATTTCAGCACCCGCGTGATAAAGCCTAATCAAACGGACATTGGAAGGCGTGTTAAAGTGCGCGCAACGCATTCTATGTACTCAAATGGGCCGGTTGCGGAACGGCTCGAACGGCAAGAGCGTCCTGAACGGGCCGAACGCCCCGATAGGCCAGAACGGGCCGATCGTCCCGATAGGCCAGAACGGGCCGAACGTCCCGAAAGACCGGAACGGGCCGAACGTCCTGAAAGACCGGAACGGGCCGAGAAACCGGAACGTCCCGAAAGGCCAGAGAGGGCAGATCGCCTGGAAAGGCCCGAGCGGTTAGAACGGCCTGCTGCCGTAGTTCCTCCCACAAGTCGTCCACAACCTCAGCAGCAGCCGCAGCCGCATCCCAACCCTCAACGGCCTCCATCCAACCCTGACCTTACGAGGCGACCTATTAAGTGAGTAGTAACCTCCTAACTTATAAACTGCTTGCTAATTGTCCTACAGTATAAACGGGGCTTAAATCAACATTTATGTACATAACTTTAGTCTATTACTCATTATTTTCTTTAAGAACACAGAACCGGAAATAATTTATTATTTTTGTTAAATACGTCATAAACATTCTTTGGTAATGTTACTTTTGCAATATCTCTGATTTGACTATGATGAAATATTTGGTACATACAAATAACATAGTTAAGTATTATTACAACTTGAAAATGAAAGCTACTTAAATATTTTAAAACGTACTAATTATAAAATGGCGTTTAAATTATCACGCAGTTTCGACAACAGCTTATTAACAATTGCTGCCGTAAGTCATTAGTGTTTTCCATTCTCGCGTGAAATCGCGTGTTTTATTTTATCGTCACACTATGATAAGGCATATGGTAGCGTAAATGCTAAATTATTATTTAATATTCACGTTGATTCAATTGTACCATGAACTATTAAAAGTAACAGATATTTTAAATCGATTATACGTTGTTGTTGACTATATGGCTTCAGAACTTTTACGTGAACGACGTGTTATTGTATAGAATTCTGTCAATTTTTTTTAATACATAAGAAAAAAAAAAAAAAGGTCTGCTTTGAATTGCGATAATTGGAGGGTTTATGTCGTATCTCAAGGGGGATCTTTAACCGAGTGAGCTAAAATCGAACCGTTCAATTAATACTCATAGTAATACAGCGCTCACGTCAAAACAAATAATACATGATAACAATAGCTTGCGATTTGCATACATTAATTTTATCGGCTCACGAATTTTTCCAACTTTGAAATTATCACGTACAGTGATAAATCGCAATCATTATTATGTAATACTGTAATGTAATTTTTAGAAAGTATTCGCTTTCCTTGGTTCTTTGTGAATGCCCTCTCACCAAAGACACCTTTTGAAGTTCAGATTCCTATTTATGAATTTAAAATTACAATATGAATAGTTTCGATAGACGTTTCGAGATATATTTTTAGTATCGTTATCGCAACGATAACTTGCGGCTTGTTTGTGGTAACAAACATTTCCATAAACAAGCAAACAGTTTTTATATATGAAATTTGTTTTTAATTAGATTTCAAATATAAAATAGGTAATTTATGAGCTTTATCTTCAAATTACTTTCACCAAGGATATTATAATAAAAATGAATCTAAGAAATGATAACAGAGTGTAGAATTAATTTCCTTAGATAGAAAAGTTATCAAATTACTCAATGATTTATTATTCAGTACTTTCACTGTAATTAATTAGGTAATAATAATGTAACTTTTCATAGTAGCTTAAAAATAGTTTGTACCAATTTATACAAATGAAAATGCCTTGGTTCAGTTGTCAAGCCTATAGCAAGTAGTATATCAGGTTTCCTTGGGTTTTTTGTTTTATTTCTCCAATCAAACCTAAAAAAATAATGCATAATATGCCTTCATAAATTAAACCTTTGCGACAAACTCAGTAATCTTTGTATCGAACAATCCCCAAGGCGGGCGATTAGTACCAACTGAGTCATACATAGTCAAGGTTATGCAGAAATTATTGTATAGCGAAAACGGCTCAAGGTAATAAATGAAAATTGCCTTGCATACCGCTGAATATTTAAGTGAAATATTCATTGGTTCATTAAAATAATCGTAATACATATGGGTACCATAATTACGAGTATTTGATCATGTCCATACCGTGAAAATAAACAATGTAGTAAAAATAAAACACTAATCCATAAACAAATGACAGTCTGAAAAAGAACTAAACATTCATTCTATAGAACTGTAACATCAAAGACGTAATACTTGTTAGGAAGCCCCGGAAAGTTTAAAAAATACTGTGGGAATTCCAACTTCTGTGTTGGTGATTATCGTAATTTATATAATGTAGAATTCTTAAAATAATGTTAATAGCGTATTAATATGTTCAAGCTAATGATCCATTTTCTAAAAACCTATAAAAAACAGATTAGAACTTTTTATTTTTTATAAAAGAATCCAAACTTATACATAATTTATGATTAATTAAGTTATGTTATATAGATGTTACAGTAATATTACTCTAGAATATATATTTAATATGTTGTCTTACTTGAATGTCGAATAACCATCTAATAAACATTTTTCCCCTTTCAGAGAAAGACTTATACAATTATTAGCACTGAAACCCTTCAAGAAGCCGGAACTGTTCACCCGACTTTGTTGTGGTAAGCGTTTGGGTCTCAAATATTTTCATTCAGATATGCTATTGATTCAGTAATAACATGATGTATTAAGCCTTCCCAGTTAGTCAGGCCGCACACCAGGCATACATTTGTTATTTACGTCGCCACAATCGTTGCGAAGTCGTTGCGCTACAATTGTATGCGCTACAAATGTATTGAAAATGCGCACATCGGTAGCACAGTTGTAGCGTGGCACCGCTTTGAGAAGGTCGACATCATCGTCTTATGACATAGATTTCTTGATGTGGCGATTAATGAGAAAAAAAAAGACGTTATTGGGTTCATCCGTTTAATCAAGATTGCACAAAGTACGGGAATTTTTCGCCAATCTTAGTCTAAATTATTTCTGTAATCCGTCTGTTACTATAATCATTGAGCGTGTGATTGTATAAAACAGGGTTTTTTTCAACCTCTGCAATAAACTCAACGTAAAATTCAATGTTGTCCTTAATTTTTGCAAACCAACGCGACACAAAAACGAACGTGTTCGATCTTGAATTTGTGTGGCGCGGAAACTGTCTCGCTACAAAGTGCGCCCGCCACAAATGTTTCCTCGGTGTGCGTGCTCACGTACAAATGTATGGGGGCGTTAAATGTGTCGCGTTTCAAATGTGGCGCTACAATTATCGAGTTACAAATGTATGCCTGGTGTGCGGCCTGACTAGAATGTCTAACACAAAACATTAAATTGAACTATTTCTATTAGCGCCTTATAACTCTTTAATACAATACTACAATATCATATTTTAGAGGGTATCAAAGAAAAGGAACGTAGTATGGTGACAAAGATTTTGACAGAGATTACGGTGGCGAAAGACAATTGTTACCACTTACGTAGGCACATTTGGAACGATGTCAATGAGGATTGGCCATTTTATACGGAAGAGGAGAAACGTATGCTCAAGAGGTATGATGGATTTTCAATACTATACTTTATTTGTACTTACCTTAATTTTTCTACGAGGTCTTTAATTTTTTTAGTATTTCCTATATACGTAATGAATTATGTGAAACAATAACAATGACTATTTGTTATTTTATAAATGCTTGCTTAGCTAGCGCTGTTTATATTAGATATTGTGATTTCACAAAAGATGTGGGAATGTTTTTGTTTTATTTTATTAAAACGTATTTAAAAAATGTTTATAACAAAGTATCTTTTTTGTACTACTGTCCTTGTTTTTAAATTATTCGTGATTATCTAATGTTATGATTTTAAAGGGGGAAGTCTATTGGAAGTCTTCATGAGATTTCTTTATCCGATAATACAAATTAAAATCGATATCAGTATAATGCTTGTATTTGAAATAGCTGAGTAATCTTAAAAATAAAGTAGTAATAAATTGTAAGTATGACTTTCAATTTAAAGTTTCATATTTATAGAAAATAATCAATCGCGATAATTTTTTTTCGGATTAAAATTATCGGACCTTGAATCAATTATAAGTACTTTAAAATCTATTCTTTAACATAATATTTGTTTTTCTTTTATGTTGCCCTTTACTGAATTATGGATGCAGATAAATTGGACTTATACATTTTACAGTAAAACTGCTTCTGGAAATACTGCTTCATTTTAAAAGCTTGCTTTAATAATAGCGAGCGAAGCCGCCAACAAAAGCTAGCTAGTCTGTTAGCTAGTGTATCTTTGTTATTGATGAATTTTACTAGATATTAAATGATTCAATATAGTTAATAAGATACTTTGAGATTTAACGCCAGTGCGATTTTTTGTTATAAAACAAATGTGTTGGAGGTTACGAGTTGGAGGCCTGATGTAGATTTTTCCTTTGGAATTTGTATTAAAACTATGTAGCTAAATCTAAAAAATCATCTCAATTTTCAGGCGGAAACCTCAAAATCTAACACCGCCGTTAAGCAGCGATTCGGCAAACTCGCTATCCCCGCGGGCTTCGCCGGCGAACAAGCGTAACGGCGCAGGCGCAGAGGAGCCCCCGGCCGCTAAAAAGCAACGCATCTCGCACTATCGCCGCCCTTCGCCCCCTTCCTCAGGTTACGCCACCACTTCCTCTGGGGAACGGCATGCGTCGGACAACGAGGATGATAGAACCGGTGAGCATATCTTATTAAATCCTGCTCTCCTGAAGGTAGTAATTTCCCCCTTATTATAATATATTCTGGTACATAATCTTTATCATTTTGTGATAAGTATGTGACAGACAAGACACAGAAATGAGTAATCCATGTTTTTTTAGGACTGCAATAAAAACTACAACCTTAATGGAACTATATATCTATGTAAAATCTCTAGTACTATGTTCTGCTATGTCTCTCTCTGAATTACTGATAAATTTTTTCAGAATTATTTTATATCTTAAAATCTTCGGGACCACAACTAACATATGTATGCTATGATCACTAAAACAGATATTGAAATATCAAGACAGTCTTAAAAACAACAAATGCTTATCGAACATTACCTAATATATATTATCCTGTTATACAAGGAAGATTTAAGTTATGAAATTTCTTACCCACTGCAATTTTATGTAGGACAAATGTGTTTAGTAATCATTTCCTTGAACATCGAGAACAAATTGTGACCTTAATCTACTTTAAATGCAATTTCTTTAAAATGTCGCAACAATGGCTTAAATATATCAGAAATTCATAGGCTATGAATTTTTCCTTTTTTTTTTACTCTGACATTTATAAAGTCTGTCAGTTCAAATATTTGTGACAATAAACAATTGACAGTTGATCTTTTATGAAGTAAAAAACTTATATTAACTGAGAAATTGTATAGTTTCGGATATCCGGAAAGCATTTTTTAAATAACCATAGTATAAATTAAAAACAAAATCTGTTATGTAATAATTTGCACAATTTGTATTGAAATTATATTTTCTGTAACTTAGCATTAATTTTATATTTAAAAATTTACAGTGAAAAAGGACAATGGCTATACCCTTAACTTCACAACTGTGAAGGACATCTGCCCGAGTCCTGTGAAACCCAACGGTTTTAGAAATAGTCCGCCCGTAGAGCAAACTAGTATCACAGGTATTTATTATTTAATTAACTTATAAAGTGTTAAATCTCTGGTTCTAAGTTGAATTATTAAATAATTGAATTATTACCAATTAAATTCTACAAATAATTTAATGATGATGAGTGGTTTATCTGTGTTGCTATAGTTTTTGACCAAACATTAGTTAGCTTCGGATTTGTGACTTTGCGCTGTCAAACACGTACTAGATTGGACATTCGGTTGTCATACTTAGTGCTAAGGTCGATATTCTAATTCGTATCTCAAGTAGCAATCTCGTCTTATGCCCTGTCAAATACGTCAAACAGTATCCAGAAATAATGGTTTGACAGCTCTTTAAACTTGATTTATGTTTGATACGGGCTCAATCTCGACTATCTCTTGGGGTAAATGTCAGCTATTCGAATTGATCTGACGACTAAGTTAACAGTTATTTGATGAGAATATTGACAGTCCTTCCAGAAATTATAGTTTTTAACTGATACTTTTAAGCACAATTTGATTAATATTTTATTTTGAAAATATGTGTATTTCAGTAAAAGACATCACAAATACAGAACCATTAGTAGAAAATACAGCTTTAACGTCTGTCCCTGAAGAGAATACGACGAATGACCTCGTAGAAATTGAAAGGTAATATTTTTATTAACATTTCTTAGTATTATATTTATGGAATATTAAATTAAATCTCATAAAGCCTTTATATTTATATATAACATGGGTTTTTATTGGCTCTCAGATGTATATATGGCCTGTTGAAGGTTACTACCGAGACTACTATGGTTACGATTACCAAGACCATTATGCTTTTTATAGTTATAATGGTATCTTGCTTAGATGTAATGTAATAAGTTAATGAGGTATAGATTTTTGACGAAACAAATTTTTTTTCGAATAGGCTTAAAAACCTGATAATCGTGACACGATTATCTTCATCATGCTTCATTGGAGTTCGAGAATACAATAATTTATGGTGTAACAACGTGAAATAGTTCAGTTGTTTTAAATTTATTTATTGCAAATGTATACGCACAACGGACCAATTATGAGTCTAAGTGCGAAAACTGAGTCCACCAACCTCATTACAAATATAAAATGAAATCTCTTTATTAATTCGATTAGATACTAATAAATTATGATTTGCAGGCAATACCCGCCCATAACGAGTTCGAGCACGCGCCGCGCGTATAAGAACGAGTTCGCGGCGCTGTACACGGAGTACCGGGCGCTGTACGCACGAGTCGCGCAGGTCGCCGCGCTCTTCACGCGCCTAGAGCAGCAGCTCAAGCGAGCCGAGCCCAAGTCGCCCCACCATCGGGTATTTTTTTTTTAATAATATTTTTACATACAAGTTATGTATGATATAAATTGGTACAAAACAAAAATTATTTGGTATTTTGAAATCATTAACTTAATCAATATCATATCTTAAGCCCAAGTTTTGCAAAATACAATACGATTTTGACATACATGAGTCATACTTATGAAATATTGACCCCATTAACGATCCTTACAGAGCATAGAGCAGCGTATAGTTGAAGAATACCAGCGCGCGCGCAACGACGCCGATTACCAAAAGGAAAGGCGGCGAGTCAACTACCTGCATCGGAAGCTCAACCATATCAAGAGAATGGTGCTTCAATACGATCAGCTGGTAAGAAATAATGCTGAATCATATAATTACGTAAACTTAATTTCATCGTTTGCTACTAAGCCGGTATAAAGTAATTTCATAGAATCATTGTTTGATATGTCTAAGTAGTAGCTTTGGCCTAGTGGCTTCAGCGTGCGATTATCCCTGAGGTCGTAGGTTCGATCCCCAACCGTCGTGCACCAACGGACTTTGTCTATGTGCGCATCTTAACCCTCGAACGGTGAAGGAAAACACCGGCATGTCAAATACAAAAATCGACATGTGTCGGATAGAAGGCTGATCTTTTTGACTATGACAAGGCCAAGACCCATATAGGGTTATAGCACTGGATTATTATTATTAAATGTTTAGTAAGGATTAGTTCAGTAAAAATTCACTCGCGCTAATTCTGAAATTACTCACGATTTAAGTTTTTGTCTGATTTTGACAGAGAAGTTTTAGATTGCATTTATTTGCAAAAACTGTATTTAGTGAATTATATTTGGTTAATGGTATTGCTAGCTCTGTATCGCTCATTCTTGCTTTTCAAGTCTCTAACGCATATAAAGGACTACGGGGAATTACCTGTGAGTATATAGAAATGTGTAGTTAGGCATGAGAAAATATTTTTATGTAATTATTGTATTACACTCTAAAATATATTACTTGTTTAAAAAATTGTGATGAATAATTACTAGAATAGCAATAAATATACAATCCAAATAGATTTTTTTAATAAACTTACTATAATGTTCAAATAGCTGTTAAACGTTTTGAAAAAAAGGTTACTGGGCGCTCTCCGTAATAGTTAATCTCTCGACTTAGTTGGACATTAAATTATCAGTTTAGTTAAAAATATATAATGTATATCTGATTATTTGATGGCTTTTATTTCAATAACAATAGTGACGTTATTATTTAATTTTCAAAAATTATTATTTTCATATCTACATTTTTACTCAGTAGCAAAAATTCTGGAATATCCATTAACTAATCGTTAATGTTTGATAAAACGACAGCTAATAGTAATGATATGACGTTAATTTATTGATTCACGTGAATTCATATGTAAACAAAATGATAAGCAAATCTATCACGTCAAATGTTGATACATATTATGGTATGTAAGTGGTTTATGTACGCAGGTGTATTAAATATGTATTTATTTTTTACTTTATTAAGGCACAATGTAGGCATGTTAGCACTATGTTTTTAATAATATTTCTATGAAATTGTCTTCTATATTTCTTTAGGAAAGACTTTGAAAGTAATGTAGTAAGTAATGACTTTGTAAATAAAAATATTTTCTGAAGTTAAAGGGGGAATGGGTTTCCTTATCTATATAGACTTCCGTATGTCTAAAATGTATTGAATTTTGACAAGTCTCGTTGCTAAATCTTATCTTAAGTATTAAACAATTTCATAAAGCTTTTCTGCAATTAGACAAAAGATTGCATACAAAAATTGAAATTCTCAGTTAGTGTTGGCCTCATTACACAATAGATTTTTCGGAGACCAAGTCTTGTCAGTCACGCCTTTTGTGTCAGACATCCATCGTAGAAAAACAGTTGCACCTTATCCGCGTCCATGGAAGTGGCGAATTTATGCATTTTGGCAAGCCTTAGTAACGAATAAACACATAATAGTGAACTCATTTTAAAAATGGTTTGACCATAAGAATTCCCTTATTCCTGAATAAAATTGGCTATATTTATAGTTAATAAATACAATATTGTTTCAGCGAAACCTTAAGCCCGAGCGAGTGTCCGCCGCGAGTACGACGCAAGCGTACTGACACTCGGGCAAGCCGCCGCCCGCCCGCTGCATATAGTCGAGCAGCTATGGACTCACAACTCCCGAGTGGCAGAATATACCCGGTTTATACAAGAAAATCCAAGGCAAGGGTCGTGGCAGACTTCCCCGATTTAATACTATGCGAGAATCGTGACGTTTGGTATTATAGGTACTGTAAATGATAGGCTAAGAGCATGAAATTAACTATACTAAGTCTGTGATAATTAACACCTTAGGTCATACAATTTGTATGGATTATCTTATAATTAAATTATGAAAGATTCTAACTTTAGTATAAACTAGATTTTGGAAATATGGGCTTAGTGACCAAATTATCTTTATCCAATTCACATCTTTGCAGTTAAATATTTTACTTAACTTCACGATTCTTGTTATCCGTACGTGCACGTGCACTTAGGAGGGATCAATGTATAGCTGACTCATTTGCTACTAGGGAAGAGAAAGAGATGGCTATATGTTGTGTCACGAATTTGCTAGTCGGGTTTGTACGCGCTGACTACCTTGCTACTAATGTTGGAAGTGTCAAAGAGTACTAATATATTTATTGTAATTTTAGCTGGATATCATTTATATTGAATACTTATTTTAACGTATATATTTATGAATTTTAGACAATTTGTTATGCATAATTTCGTGATTCCATATATGTGACCTTTGTGCTTGCCAACATTGGTCAAGGTCAATACGATCAGTGTAAGCCAAATTGCAGTATTGTAAATGTGTGTATAATTGGTTGTATGTTTCCTAAACGACGCTGCCTTAAAGTACGAATTGTACTGACCTTATTCTCTATTAGTAATTTCGTAGTGACCATAGACCTCACAAAAGTCTAGGTGTGAGTCTGTGGTACGGTAAAATTTCTATCAGAAATTATTGGAGAATGAGAGTATCAAAATTTAAACACACATACACCTGCCGATTTGGAACGAGATGTATATATTGCGGCATATTATTTTAAGTTGAAGAGTTCTTCCATTATGTTATCTGATGTAAAATATTGATTTGGAATATATTGGAACACGAGTGACGTGTTACCGCTGTATACCGGACATGAGGGCCCATTACGAATTTTATAATAAAAACATTTATAAGAAAACTTAGCTTAATTAATATTACATATTTTCGGACATTAACTGTATTTCATATATATGGAGCATTATTTTCGTTAGCTTTTATCTTTCTACTTAGTCATAGGACTTAGTGAGCGAGTGGAAATATAAAGGAAGATATCGATGTTATTTGCTCTTGTTAGTGTAGTTTGACAATTGCAAGAAACATTTTATTGCCTTGAGAAGTCTCGGTAGTACTCTGATAGTAGAACTTAAAACGCTGCTCAGAAATGTCGCGGCTGTATATATGGTGTTTTAAGTTGCAACTGTGGGAAACTATCGAGACAATGTTTAGGTGATATATTTCATTTTTAATCTCATTTGATTTTTTTTAAATGTAAATACTGAAAATACTATAATTAAGTACATAATAGTCCAATAGTAGTTTGTTCGTCCAAGTTTAATTCCATTGAAATATTGCCGTCTTGTTATCGTTGTCCAAAATTCAACTATTATTTGCCAGTTATTGGTGATGAATGTTTTCACTGGTTTTATTATTTAAGGAATTGGATGGATACTAAATTTCAATTGTAAATGTCAATTTAAAGGACGAAATGCCTTTAAAACAATTATAATTATTGCCGTACAACGCGTCGTCCCTCGCTTACCATCCAATGTTCGTATTGGACGTTTACATATACGCGTCTTGCCCCGCTTGCTTGTTGTATATAGTACATTATGAAGATTTATCATGTTCTTGTTAAATTTGACTATGGGTAGTGTAATATTTCAATTTTTCTTTAATAAAATAATATATTATATTTGCTCCTTCGAGGGAGTCGCGTCGTGATCGTGCCGGAATTGCGTGCGTGCTCGTTGAGATGATTTTTTGAAAAGTGTACCTAACCAGACCTTTAGTTAATTCAGTTTGAATTAGAATATCCCCTTCCACTTTTCAATGGCATAAATCATATTTTTATAATTGGAAAAAAATAAATAATAATTATATCTCAACGGACACTCGTAAGTGAAAAACTCGTGAACGTCACAAAAATTACTCGTGTATATAAATCGGACCGAAAAGTATTAGAATGGCGGTGCGGCCACGACGCGAGCTCTCTATGTTACGTGGTCATATATTTGCCAAATTATAAATACATTTTACATAATAAATTAGTTTTTAATTACAAACGTCTCGCAAGTTAGCAACCGGCCAGTGTTGAACATCCACTAGAGTTAAGTCTGGTCCTTTTCGCGTAACCCTCCAAAATACAAAACTTAGTTTTTTTAGTCCTCGCTCTGGGTCATTTGAGATCTGTTCTGTAAAAACTTGACAACGCCTACCGGATATTGCCGTTGTCAATATTGACAATTGGCAAGAGCATATCTCATTGAATTGTCTTTCTATACGATTAATCGTAAACATAAATAATCATGCATCATAAAAAGACATACAAAATGACCCGAGTGTTAGTCGGAAACCGTCTTTACTATGTCCTGATTCTAACGTCCATATTTGAAAATGATTTAGTATTAAGTAATTATTTGACCCGCAAAGTATTTGATGCCACGTATTCTTAAATTTCATTATAGATGTCTTTTTGTGTTAAGGACGCGCCAATCTTATCATAAATATATCAGATAACTATCAAGGGAAATACTTTTTAGCAACTTCATTTTTGAACCACGATTAAAGTAATTTAATTAGTATGATCGCTTAAAGTCGTCATTAAAGTGCAATTATGTCCAGAACTGTTTCCATATATATGTTTATTTGCATTATTATTGAAATATATATTTATAGAGTAATGGAAACGGCAGTATATATGTTGGTTTCAGTTAATTTGTCAATTATCAAACGGCGTTGCTATTTCATTTTCACTGTAGTTCATACATGCATGTACAGACTTAAATTCCATTTAACATTATATTCTTACTAGCAGAAATAAATGCGGCCTTATTTAGTTTAAAAGCAAAAGCACATAGGGTAAGATTCCGAGTCGAGGCTTAAAGCTTAATATGTCCTCTATGCCAGAAACGTATTTTGTCGTACGGGATAATAGTTCGTGCTAAGTCTCGTTTCTGAATGTCCGTTATGTCTGATACAATTTTTTTGCAATACAGTTCGTAGTATTAACTTTATATTAACGGTCAATTGTTTCGTAATTAAAATGTGAACATGCGTCAAGTTTTCTGGTCAATTCTCGCGTAAGTGCCACATATTTTGCTCACGTTTGATTTTCTTTTACTCATAAAAAATGCTCAATACATCATGATATTAGATGATAATTTGGAAATTTTAATTTATTATCACTTTACTTATTACATTGTAGTTAACGATAAAATTGATCTGTCCCGAACTTTCTTTTTGCTTTCCTTTCTCTGAACATCACATTTTCATTTATTTTGTAGACACTTCATTTCGACCATTTCTAAGAACACCGTTTAGAATGTTATTGTTACCAGTAGTATAAGCAGTGTCGTTTGTTTTATTATAATATAGATATTGATTATTACAAATAATAAATATAGTAGTACATTTTGTTTGACGTGAAGATGTCTCTAGTATGTTGACTTGTTATGAATGAAGTGGATGTAGTGGTTATGCATTCCAGTTGGCCGTCGACCCTAGCACTGTTCGTTGATGCACCTCGAGTTAATGTCCATACATCGTAATCCCCTCTATTTGTATGTACTTGTAGCGACACGTCATAGCATAGCATTTATGCAGACCAGAAATACAATGGAAATACAAATTTTATGAGAGAAATCCCTTTCTACATGAATTTAATACTAAGCTGTCACAAAGGGAGTATAAAGTGTGAAATTCACTCGATTGTTACCTATTAAGTTATTAGAAAGGTTGGGCAGATATATTTGTATTTTGACATGTTTATACCAATTGAATATCTATGAAATATCATAGTCCATTGTACAGAGTAGGCGATATTTAGTCTAGTGACGTCATCATTTTATTAAATCCTAGTTAGTGATCAATTAAAGGTAATAATTCCCAAACATGTATCGTTCTTTGCGGCATGACAAACTCGCCACTTGTATTTTAAATGTTACTTTATTATATTACGTTCTCTAATTGATTAAGTAGACCGCGTAGTCAAGGTTGTGTTAACCCCACTTTTGATGATTACAATGAAAATGGCCTATTTTATTTATGTTTATTGTATGTATATTATGTATTCGTATTTAGTGCAGAATCGCGCGATCGTGGCATCTTTGTCATGTGCAAACTTAACATTGTTATACTTAACACAGCTGAAAATATAGCGGCTTAATGGCGGGCGATGCGTGAATATTACATAATTCGTTTAGATGTAGATGATTGAGTTTGCGTTTTCTGATCAAACGTTATTGTAAATTTGCTGTACAGTAAAAGAGAGACAGGCCGCCGTCGAGACAGGCCGAGGGAATTTTCGGAAGACTGCCGATTTACCGAACAATTTAAATACTGTGTATTATGTCAGTGTAAATAGAGTACGAATTAGACATTTAGCATTGTTAAGGGATGTAATCGTAGCGTTTATTTTTAATAATAACTATATAGTATATGGACGGGCAGACACGAATACTGGGAACCGGGTCTCGACGGCGGCTGTGTCGTAACAATGCTGCGATATTCCTTGTGCCCCTTGAGATATCAGTGCATTATATGAGTCAAGATGTATAGACGATGTGGTAGTGTTATTGTGTATAGATGTGTTTATACAAGCTCGAGTCAGGCGGGACCGACGCTTGCCAGCCGGTTCGAGCGAACGACGACAAGCTATGAAATCCTGACATCGGCTCACGTTAATTAGCTTTTAAATATTTCATCAAAATATAAAATACACAAAAAAAATGGATATAAATTTCTCGACCAAGTGCTGGTTGTTTTTTTAAATTATTAAAATGTAAAAAAAATTAGATTATAAAC